ATAGAATATGTACATTCAGTAACTGATAATTATTTAACAAAACCTCTTTCGGAATATAAACAACGTTTTTGTGGTACCTACAACAAATCAATTAATAAAAACAATGTTTCTTCTGACTTTTTATAAAAATGAAAATGAAAGTTGGAGATATATACCTTCCTCCTCTGTAGGGTTAGGCTCTGGTAGTTTTTGAGGTGGGCTTTTCTTTTCGTGATCCAAATATGATTCTACACAGTCATACAAGAACTGGTACTGTGTCTAGAAATACACAAACAATTATATACACCGCATACATCACTTCCTAGTTCATTCTTCAAAATACATGTACATTGTTCATTAAGATGAAAGATTTCAATTCATTCAGAACAATTCATTTTAAAAATCATTTTATATTTAGATCGAAGAAAGACACACACCCACACCCACACACACACACATACACCCTCACACACACAAACACACACACACACACACACACACACAGAGAGAGAGAGAGAGAGAGAAAGAGAGTCATAAATCTGCTTCAGAGATTTTTAGGTCACCTGAGTAAACTCAGGTGACCTATTGCTATCCGTTTTCGTCCGTCGTCGTGCGTTGTGCGTCGTGCGTCGTGCGTTAACATTTGAACATTTTCAGCTTCTTCTCTGCAACCACTGAACCAATTTCAACTAAATTTGGCACAAAGCATCTATGGGTGAAGGGGAACAAAAATTGTGAATTTCATGATCCCTGCCCCCCCCCCCCCCCCTGGGGCCTGAGGGGTGGGGCCAAAACCACTTAAATTAATGAAATCTTCTTTACTCCTGGACATCAAGCAGTCAAACTGTTTGCATGATTGTAATTAGCATTGAGTTCTCTACCAAAATTGCGAAATACATGGCCCTGGGGTCAGGGGTTCTAGTGCTAGGGCGGGGCTAAATAAGTAGGTAGTGAAAATACAATATTTCTTTGAAAATCTTCTTCTCTGCTCCTGGGTATTAAATAAACCAACTAAGTACATAGTTATGATGAGCAAGAGTGCCTCTATTAAAATTGTGAAATTTATGGCCCCAGGGTCAGGGGTTCTGGTGTTAGGGCGGGGCTCTATTGATTATATAGTGAAAATACATGAATTCTTTGAAAATCTTCTTCTCTGCTCCTGGGTTTTAAATAAACTAACTAAGTACATAGTTATGATGTGCAAGAGTGCCTCTACCAAAATTGTGAATTTTATGGCCCCAGGGTCAGGGGTTCTTGTTTTAAGGTAGGGCTCTTATGATTATATAGTGAAATACATGTATTCTTTGAACATCTTATCCTTTGCTCCTGGTTAATATACTAATGATCTAATTACATATTTAAGGGCAGGATTTATTTTATTTTCAGTTTTACAAACCCTCCCCTCAAGGTTTTGAATTTCAGAAAAAAATAAAGCAATTTTTTTCTTTCCGATGTCAAATTTGAGTCGGGATCGAGATTTCAAGTTTACGAACTCGCACTTCCGGTTTTAAGATGAAACGGCGGGTAAATAAATCTAGATCTGAGAAGATAACTTGGTTTAGTGTAAATTTCATCGATACGAGTGCCATTCAAAATGTTTCACCCATTCAAAGGACAAATAAAATGCTGACGACTTTGTTGCACAATGACATGTTGGTGAGATAATTATGTATTCGTTTCTAAAGTATCTGTCTGTTAATTATTTTCGTCCCCCAGGTTTTAAACTGCCTGTGGTAGCTATTGCATATTGCCAGCGACATTGTTTAGGTCTCTGTTATAGCTTACAGTCTAAGCATCATTCTTCAGAAAAAGGTTGCTTATGCATTAGATGTAAATGACTAATGAATAAAACTATTGGGAGAAGTTAAGTCCATTTGAGGAAGAAATAAAGAATAAAGCCAAAATAAAATTATAGTTTGTTTGGAATTGCCTCCCGCCTCATTGAAATGCCCCCTCCTGAAAGAATTTTTTTGACCAAAAGTAGGAAGATTTTTTTTATTTATTAAAATCAATATTTTTGCACATTACATGTACCATACAAAACACTAAAATATAGTGTCAGATCTATATATGTAAAATTAGGTTTTCCTGTTAATGGTAGATACTTTTTTTAAAAGTCATAAAATGTATTTACTGTTTACTAAGATTTTTATCGAAAATTTAAAATTTATCTTCAATTTAAAAAAAAAAAATTAATTTCCTCCCTCCCTCCTCTGTCTGAAACCCTTCAGGCGGCAATTCCAAACAAACAATTTTTTAATGATGGCCTAACCTGAAGAAATAAAACAAAAAATTCAACTATTAAAAGGCAAGAATATACAAATATATACAGGCATGTAGTATCATTTGTATAAGCCAGAAAAATTATTTTTCACTTAACTTAATTGAAAAAATGTTCACCCTACTCCCCAATACTCCCTGTCTGTTTTATGATAGGAATTATAATTTTAGGCAACAAGTAAATTTTAGAACAATGTCTATACATTTACCTAACACATTTTTAAAAAATGAAGATATATATTGAAAGACTTTTAAAGAATTGATTTTTTAAAATATATTTTGACCAACATCACAAAATTTATATAACTGGCCCAAACTGGCAGATGATGAAATAAGCAATTAAATGTTCTACTTTCCTATTTGTAAGCATTATGTGTCCAGTTGTAAGGAGCCTATTAGAATAGCATAAAAAAAAGAATGTACAAATGTTAATAATTGATTTATCAAAAACAAAATTTATTTCCTTCTCCTTCGGAACTTTTTTATTCTCATTTCATAACTAAACCTAAACATAAAAAAATGCTGGCCTTATAATGAAGAAAGGGGCCTCTTTCAAAATAGATAATTTCAGGGCCGCTGGGTCAGGGGTACCAGGGGGGTACTTTGACTAAAATAAATTAATGCTTTGAAATCTGCCCTTTGATAAGCAATGGTGCCTCCATCAAAATTTGTGAATTTCATGGCTTTGGATTAAATCACGAACCAAATACAATTGCTGGAAAGTTGTTACAATTATTCTGAATAGTATTTTTAATATAAAATATGATGTTTACTCGTATATCGTGTAACCAAACAAAATTCTAAGATGATTATATTTGCTTTAAAACCTACCTCGTTTTCTATTAATTTCTCTCTATTTGCGATCAGGACGTGTGTGAGGTTGTAAATATCAACATGAGTATCGCCATTCCTAATAAGTTGTATGAGATAATCCATGGCAACGAAGATACCTGATTTTCCAGTTCCATTCCTGATTTAAAATATATTCATTAATTAGATTACCGTAAAGTTAACTTTCATAATACATTCAGTGAGACAGAAATAGTATAATATGGTTATTCAACTCAAAAGTAAAACAAATTGAGAACGTACAGACAATGTATGACAAGTGGTCTGCTATCATACCCCTCCTCAGAATTGGAATGCACAAGATTAATGAGATTTAAAAGATCTGAACACTCATCTTTCGTGAAGTTGGAGAGAAATGAAGACTGAAAGTGATTTACTGTGTGGTTCTTGGACCCCTGAAGTGAAATTTAACTCTATGTAGTTACATATAAACTCAAATCAATACAATATATGAACTTAATTGATTATTTAAACAGATATAAATATAAAAATAAGGTGTTGACATATATTACGCACTACAGTTTATAAGTAATAACAGAAAGCATTTTATTGTTTAAATAAACGCAAATCAATACAATATATGAACTTGAAATTAGGTGTTGACATATTTTCCACTACAGTTTATAACACTGAGAACGGACCTTCACAATCTTTAAACATCGGAATGTACACCTGTGAACAGTTAAGGTTGACAGCGTTTGCACCTTGATTTTACCAAAAGTTCTTGTCATACCAGTTCTTGTTGGAAAGTATACTTCCTACAATTTAGATAAAAAGGAAGAACATTGTAAATGAATTTTATTTGGCGTTTATGATATTTGGCGGAAACTGATTTTTTTTTTACAAGTTAGCGTAGATTTGATTAGCTCTTTCTGAATATGCTTCATATGAATATATGAAACATTAAACAAAGCATTTCGCGATGTGCTTGGTTTAAGCGGATGATGCTTTCCGCGAAAGGCGTTAAATAGAATACACCCTTTACAGTATAAGATTAATTATTTCATAAAAGTAAAATGGTTTGAGACTATGAAGATTCACTCAATGACAAAGTAAATTTATTGATGTATATGCCAAGTAAGATATTTGCCAATTGCAAATTGCTATTTGCTATTTGCAAGTTCATAAACATGCAAATTATTAACTAGAACTGTCCAATAGGGAGAAAACCTCCCGCTGGGTTTTTCAGAGAATTTTCAAAAATACTTTATGGATCTAGAGGTGTTATTTACTAACAAAAATTTGCAGTGAAATATAAGATCATGTTTCTTAATGAATGAAACAAAGGTGCAACCAAATGAAACATCAATAATAATACATTGTAATTCCATTGTAAATTTTTTTTTTATTTTTTATTTTATTTTTTTTTATTTCTGCATTAAAAAAATATATTGCAATTATGTGTTATGTCACTCTGCAAACTGATGTTGAAAAAAAAAACATAATACAAAATCAAATTAATCTTGATATATCAATTTGAAATGTATTTTGAAAATAAAGAGCTGGTCATCCAGTAATGAAGTGCTTTGACAGACAATAAATTACAATTCAGAGAATAAGAGAAGAGAGATATTCTTGTGCCTTAATTAAGATTTAACACACACGCTTGATAAGATATATGCCTTAACAACTTCATACACCAAACTCATTAATTTATCTTTAACTGGATGCATGTCCAGTCATTATTCCCAAGAGACAAATGAAAATACATTATCTTCTGTGCAATGTAAAAACTATTTTTAACACTTGATGATGTTTCTTTTTTTAAGTTTTTATAGTAGTTTTAAGTTGTAGAAACAATATTCTAGATTCTATATCTCAAACCTTATACATGAGGCCAAAATGAACAAGTCAATTAAAATAAAAAATAAAACCTGTAAAATGCAAAAAAAATTAACAAAAAGAGTTGAAAATTCCAGGTGCACACCTTCATATGGTGAATAATAAGTGTACAAATTTTCAGATTAATCCTTGCAATAGTTTCTGAGAAACGGTCCAGACAAAACCACAAAATAAAATTGAAAAAACACATGTAAAATTCAAAATAATAATCAAATCAAAATGAAAATATCAGGTGCACAACTTCATATGGTGAATAATTAGTGTACAAATTTTCAGACAAATCCTTCCAATAGTTTCTGAGTAATGGTCCGGACAAAATCTCGTCTACAGACAGGCGGGCAGACGGACAGACGGACATGGTGATTCCAATAACCCCCCCCTAAACTTCGTTTTCGGGGGGTATAATTATATGTGTGAAAAATTGTATGTAAATATACTGTGTTTTTTCTTTTGTTTTTCCTCGAGTTATCTTTTCTTCATGAAAACATACTAATCTTTATAGTACTCTTAGAAAAAAGAACAAGCATTATTAATATAACTATAAATAAAACATTTTCCAACACTGAATTAAAATCCCCACAAACCAATATTTTTTCCCCAAATGTAAAATGACCCCACAATACAGTAAAATTTATTTGTGAATTTAATTTTTGATTCGTTATATCCCAGAATTGGAGAGACCATTATAAAATACCTCAAATGTAAAAATTTACAAAACAATATGCATTGAATTTTATATACAAACATTTTCCAATCTTTTATAATCTTGGAAAGTTCGTTATAAAAATTAAAATCCCCACAAACCAATATTTTTTCCCAAACCGTAAATTTTTAGAAAGATTTGTTAACAATTTGACCCCACAACTGTAATATGTGATTTTACAGTAGTCAGAGAGAAAACATACCTTCTCACTGCTGGAAACAAGACTAATAATCGATGCTACTCTTTGCTTCCACACCATTCCCCAAAAGTCATTTTGCGTCGAAATGAGCGGATATTGTGTCACAATGTAATAAGGGTAGTGACTATGTAGACCCTGATAAATAAAAAAATAACTTACACTTATATTTTAAAATCATGCCTGACCTACAGTGAAAAGCACCGCTGTTTTACAAGTTTTTTACCTCTATAACACTCGCGTTGATGTAGTCGTTCACACTGGTTGTACCAGATTCCCTTAATCTGTTGTAGTCGTCTAAAAATGTAAACCGTACAATGCAGAGCATAATTTACATGTAACTTTATAAGAAAACGAACTGTTTTATTTTCATTTTTATCAACGGCATGTCCAATATATCATCAGTGTTGTTCAAAGGACTGGCCTTTTTTGTTAGGAATAAAGAGACAAGTCCTTTTCCTGAAGTAAATTTAAAAATAACAATTTTTTTTATTATTAGAAAATGGAAAAAGACACATTACATGGCAAGACGTCTCTGCTTCTGTTTTTATGTCTGTTCTGTGATGCTGCTCCTATGTCTGTAGGTCTCTGCTCGCAGGATCTCAGTATTCTAAACAGGATAAAAAAGAATTTAAAAAATCAAATTTTAAAAATACCCTGTTAGAGCTTTATAAAAATGTATTTTCTAAAAGAGGGATAATGGTTTACCCTAAATTCTTCTTCTGGCCAATTAACATCATCACACAAACTCTCATAGGTGTCTCCAAATGTACTCAAACGTATTCTATAAACAAATCAGAATTAAACAAAGTCTAACTTATTGGTTATAAATTGACGCTAAATATTATATGCAGAAAGAAAGAAGGTGCAATTTAGATATATTACCTGTGGGTAATATCCGCTGCTTGGTTTATAGAAATTACAGAACCTCGATGCGAACTCTTGTCATCTGTATTATATCTAAAACCAGCATAATTTTGTTAGTTTAATTCAGAAACAATTCTAAACCGCGCTAAACACAGAACTCTGTAGTAAATCAAAACTCTATTTTTAGTGATGATTTATTTCTATGACCATGATCCTGCAAATTTTAAAAATAATCATTGAATTATGACATTTGAAAGTAATTTGGTAGAAAACATGTTTCAATGACAAGAAAAACTTAATATTCTGGAACAAAACCCATATACTGAGACGTTGGTTTTTATGCCCTTCATTTCATTTATCATTAGAAAAATAAAAAAAATAATAAATTTCATACCCTTTAAAAGCCCTATTTAAGAAATCAATTCCCACTAAGACAAGGCATTTAACGTTTGTTTTTAAATCTTTAAAATTAGTAAGTTACTAAAGTCATATAAATAAACATTTTAAGGAAGAAAAATAATGAAATTACATAAATCATATACAAATAAACTTATTTTCAAATAAGGAATGCCTTACGCATACAATGGGTTGGATGCTGACATTAGCTCCGAATACGTAAAGGTGGCATCATTTCCCGTTCCCCATCTGTAAAAACAATTTTTTTTAAAGTTTTCTTTTCTGAGGTTATCTCTAATCTTTGTAAACCATTCTACATAAAGTATAATAATGTGCTTTTCATCCAACCCCCGCAGCAAGAGAGATTTGTTCGATAGTTGATACCCAAAATCTTTTGCAAATAGAATATTTACATGTATTAACGATCACTGATGAAAGTATCACTGTGTTTACCTTAGCCAAAGATACAGTATTTTTATTAAGGAATTTAGGTCTCAGCATTCAACATGATATATTAAAGAATGAAAAAGTGTTACATTGAGTTATATAATAAAGTTAATTACAGAATGTATCCCTTATTTCTAGCAAAGATAACGATGACAGCAATAAGTATTATTATCAGTATGATGATAAGCAGCAGGACAGGGATCAACCACTGTTGTTGTTGTTCTTCTGTTGGTTTTGCTGAAAATAGATTGAATACAGATATGTTAAGTAATATTGGATGCCATCTCTTTAATCAGTGGTTTCTTTAACTGTTCAACACCTACATGATTCATTTTCTGATTCTCTTTCACTTTCACTTTGAGATATGTCTACCAAAATGTCTGGAACATCATAAATTTGACTTGCGGTTATTCAAACTCAGTTTTCAATACATTTTGCTTATGGAATGACATCTTAATTCTTACTTATGATCAAAAACGTTGATATAAAAATATATATACATTGTGATACACAGGGAAACAAATATAACTTGGAAATCTTACCTTGTTTGGCAACACATACTTCGTTAACTAAATCAATTTCTGAGTACACAGGACAATTACACACTTGGATTTCAGGATGGCAGTAAGAGGTTTTGCATTCTTCATTTACATCACATGAAGAGTTCCAAAGTTTTCCTTTCAAAACTCGTGTATAAAACTTACATTTTCATCCATATACTTAACAATTTTGCAAGATTTTCAATTCATTTTATATATATATATTAATATATATATATATATAATCAAAAAGGTATATCATATAAGAAATATTATATTTAAAAAAAAATATATATATTTATAAATATATCTTTTTATTATATCTTGGAAGGTAACGGTCAGCCAAAACTTCATCGGCCAGTACCCGGAGTTTCTGATTACTCGTAACTCGCACTTAACGTTTGAATGGAAATAGCAGCAAAAGCCGAGGATTGCCGATTGCTCGGCCAGTAAAAGTTTACATCACGAGAAAACCGCGGTAGGAATAAAATTCTCAAAAATTAAAAAAAGCCACAGAAATACAAAATGCATTGCTTGAAAAATGATAAAACCTGATAGGTAGATCAGTTTTGTATAAGCACATAATTTTACATGAAGACATGTATTTAAGCTTTTTAAAAAAGCCTTACTGTGTTGTAAATCTCAAAAAAAAATTGAAATCTTAGAAGTGCTTGTCCATACGTAGTCAACTTTTCCTTTGTTAACTTTCAGGTACGTTTATATAGTTTTGAACTTTCTTTAACAATCTTTAATGGATTAGTCTAACATTAATCTATATAAATCTTTTTATCGGGGTCTGTTTTTTTTAAATGATTATATATATTCGTGATCAAAAGGCCCTAATTTTGTCATGTGTAAATGCAGTACGATTCTCTTACCCGGTCTGCGTCAGTAATAGACAATACAAAAAAAAATCCATGTAGTGACTGTTCCTTCGCCAAGCGCTTAGAAGTGAAAGTCACCTTTTTCGGATATGACCTTAAAAACGTAAAAAGGTTCCGTTGTGACGGTAGGCGCTATCAAACATAAAGAATCCCTCACAATTTGTTGCTCAATGGCCCTGAGTGCCGAGTATATCTAAATTTGAAGCTTTCTTCACCGGCAAACGGTGACGTTATATGAGTAGAAAAATTGTCGAAAGGGATTAAACAATATTTTTAAATCAATCAATTTCTATCGGGGTCTGTTTTAGAATTTTCAAATAAAATTAAAGATAATGTCACTAGCATCTAATTTTGTTTTATCACCACTTTTTTTCTTGGTCTATGCAGTTAATAAGTCGATCAATATACATGTACTTTATAGGTTTCTCTGAATGAACTATCAATCTTAAAAAAAAACATCATGCAATTTATTTGGTTTTCCTTGTATTTTTTCAAAGGGCATAAACTAAACTTACGTTCCAAGCAAGTAGCTGTATCAAACATGTAATAGTCTCTATGACATGTACATTTGTTATTGACACAGGAGGCATTGTTCGCTACACACTGAACAGAATGACTACAGCGTTCCCCAAGTACATGGGCTGAAAAAAACAGAAAGAACAAAGTAAACATGGATAAATTATTTCTGAAAAAAATTTTTACAGTAAAATTCATAATTTATAAATTTTAAGCAAAGGGCAATTATCTGATTGTATACAAGATATTCCTGTAGAAAACACATAAAGAACTGTATAAAACATCAATCAATTTCAGCTGAAATTACGAATAAACTCACGATCTTCCACACTCTTCTCTGATTCGTAGATGACCTGGAAATCGTGTTTTGACGTGCCTCTAGACGTTTTATAAATAATAAATAAACTATCCCCAGTAGAAGTGATAGTAAATCGAGGTCGACTGTTACAATATCGCCCGATAAAAGGTGACTCTGGCCCTGGACCATCGAATACCTAAAATTTGAAACTTGATTCTAATTGTGGTTTACATATAAGGTAAATACGTCATTATAATTTGAAATCCTTTAAAATTGAGGGGAAGAATTCGCAAGAATGTCAATGCATCCATACCTCAAGATATGTGTCGTTACATGGAATCTGAATTACTGGTGAATACCGTTTTCTTCGAAACTGATCATTTGGATTCATTGAGAAAGAAATGAATGTTGCATTGATCGTTTTAGAGTTAAAAGGCTTCAATAAAAAGAAACACAATGTATTTGCTGGAACTTGAAGAGGTGGCTCCACTAGTCCAATCGGATTTGTATAAACCCCTCCACAGACTGGAATATTAAATAAGGAAAATATCTGGCATTACCACAAAACAAGCAAGATTATTGTTAAGCATGTCACAGGTGTACATGGCCCAATAACATAAGTTATGTCTAGATTATAACAAAATCGTCATAAATAATATCTGTTTACACTCAAATCAACTTTATTATTAAAAGAGATGGTGATATTCCTAACACGTTCTAAAATCCATCAATAGGTTAGGTTGAGAAAATAATCTAATTTCTGGAAAACGAACTGTCAACCGACAAATACTAATGCATTTCTATGTACGAAGCATAGTCCATTTTTTTTATAATTGTCAAACGAGCTTTCATGCAAAATAATTTTTAAAATGTGTTTATTCAAAGACACACATGTATTTGTATATTTTATTCAAAATACTCACCGCCACAGGATAAGTGCATCGCTTCCTTCTCAGTGTCACAGGGCTCAATAGAGACATTACATTTTGTAAGGTCAAATCCTTTACTCTTTTGATCACATACAAATGACTTGTATGTGACCCCATTTGGCGATTTGTAGCCTCCTTCCTGAGCAAGATGAACACCATGTCTATGGTTAGATATGAATCAAACATATTAGTTTGAAAGAAATTTCTTCATAAGATAAAATACAGTTGTTCGAATTCCAAAATTTAGCATGCATTCCATTTATAAGAAGTGATGCGTAATTAGCAAGGTAAATACATGTATTTCAGATTAAGAAAATCGATACGTAATTTTCCTATGCAACTTACATATCGTCATTGAAAAGCGTATTGCAAGCTAGCATAGCTGTAAACAGATCGAAGGACTGACATAATGCACCCCAGACATTGTCTCGCCACATCAGTACGATTCCGTCCATGGGTGTAGACCCATTTGTAATGGCCAGCGGCGATTCTAAAACATACAACGTAAGTATTTCTACCAATCTTAATATTTGTTTTCTTTGAACAATGCACAAGAAATAATTTACGGATCAGCACGTTTATGTATTAATTCTTCTGATAATATTGACATTAGTTATTATTATTGCCTTTGACCTGTCTCTGAAAAGAGGCCTTTTCAATTTTCTCTTGCAAAATTATTTTGTTTCAAAGACACTCTAAATTAACTCAAAACACTTTGAACGAAAAAAATAACGAGTTTTTTTAATTGACAATATCTATGTAATTTTCTTTAGATAGAATAGTCTTTAAAACTATGTAGAAATTTCCATTGGTAAAAATGCATTCCATTATAGCAGTCTTATATTCTATTTTGAATAAATACCCGAGCAAATGGCACCATCGCCAACAGTGCCCTTATTACAAACACATGAATACGATCCATTCGTATTTGTGCATGTTTGCAGAGAACTTTTGCATTTATATTTGCATTCATCAATATCTGTAAATAAAAAAAAGCATTATGTTCTGTTAAACAACCAAGTATGAAATACACAACTGCTCAACTTAACATGTATTATAAAGGTAATAATATTTTTTAATTCAAAACGCATAGCACCTTTTGATACACGGGAGAGAGAGGTAGCAACTTTAACTCAATAAATTCTAGAGAGGAACGTTACCAACAAATACTAAAATAAACAAAATACCTCTGCAGCCCAATCCACCTCTTGTATATCCAATCCTGCATGAACAAGTTCCACCCATGCAGATCTCCCCCTGTTTGAGACACGCATCGTTCTCTGATTTTGTGCAGTCACATTTTTCACCCCGCCAGTTTGCCTTACAATTGCAATGATCTTGGTGGTCAAATGAAAGAGTATTTGTACGGTTACATTTCGACATCTTTTCACAATCTGAGCCATAGTACCACTGTGAACAAGCACCTGTAGAGAATAAAATTAATTTAAAAAGAAAGTGTAGATCAAAAATCTGTTTTACATTAGATTATAACATGCTCATAATTTCAATTCTGGACTACATTTGTTAGAATAATATTAAGAGACAGTAAAATCTGTTCCGGGGTATTTAAGTACGTATTTTAGTAAGCAGTAGATATTGAAGTGTATTTTATATCATCCTAAATACTAGAATGCATTCAAAATTTGACATAGAAAATCATTTTTTTCTATAAATACTTATTTAAGATTTTCTTAAATTAACGTCCAAGATTGGGTTTCATAGATGTAAACAACCCTCAGAAAGAATTTTTAAGACAAAATTTCATCTTGAGAATATAACTTAAAGAATTTTCCTATATATTTCTAAGAATTAAGGAACAAAAAAAAAGAGCTATTCTCAATCAAAGAAATATAAAAAGAAAATAATACGTTATAGAATAAGGCAGTGGAAATGTACATTATGATTCGGCTTTTAATGTTCCAAATGCATGAAGAAAATTATAAAGGTGAATTTGAATAAAGTGTTTAGTGAATAGCGGTTCAATAGCAATTGCAAAAATAATGGAATCAGTATCAAATTGCATGAAGTATTCTAAGCTTACGTTATCATGAATGCAAAGACAAAAAAGTTAGAATTATATAGAGTATTCACAAGTTCATTGTATTTATTTTGTAAATCAAATGATATGTAAATCTAAATAAGATTTAATCTATTTATTTATAAAAATAACATCTACTTTATAATATCCTAATCCGCTAACACATAATGAAAACAAATTTACTACATCTCTTTGCCGTTATGATTATGTCGTCTATAAGCACAGGCCAACTATTGTAGACGTTCACAATAAAATGAATCTACAATAAAATGTAAACATTTAAACATTCTTTTAATGACGTAATTTTCAATTTTTAAAGCAAATATCAAAAAACTGTTTTAACCTCAAGCTTATTGACGTGCAAACACACCTTGATCTCTGAAGATGCCTTTATGGAGATACGGGCAGTTGACCAATCCCTTTCTTGAAACAGTCTATTACTTATCAAATGCCCATTTCTTATCACCTGAATTCGGAGACTTTGTTTCGTTGGATCGCGTGTGAAATATTTGACTTGAAGACAACTATCAGTTTCTACAAAAGTATTAAAAAAGAGTCACATTTTTTCATCTTTAACTTTAAGAAAGGTTTAAATTGATTATTTATATGCTCATTTAAGGCAAAACTTACTTAACGATATATTCTTGAGGGAAAATGAAAACATTGTGCTTTCCGGAGACAGTCTTGTTTGCAAGTAGTGGTTGTTGGTCAGATGATAGTTATCACTAATCGAGTGTGTTCTGTCCTGTAATGAAGTTCTCAGTGATCTTAATTACTTATAAATACTGGATATTTTGTGAATTCATTTCTTTTAATGGGAAAATAACTTTAATTTCAATACAACTTTACGTTTTTTTACGTTGCCAACTACTTCTGATTTATGTTTAGATATGATAAGCAATATGATGAAATCTCACCTCTTGGATCTCCCACTGCAATGGAGGCAATACAATTTTGCATTGTTTGAGACTGTCTGGCATATCAAATGCACAGAAATATGTGATGTCATTGATACCTGCAACAATTACATGATATCTAAATTAAAATAAGTTTGTTTTTGGAAGGTTGCTTGACCTGAATGGTTATATTGGACATATAGTGGAAATCCATAGCTACTTAGTTTAAAATTTTAATATTTATTAACATTTCGACAATAATATTAAAACAAAACGATTTTTTGAATCATACCGGAGCACGTAACACCGGTGTCATATACGCCATCTTTGCATAAACATACATCTCCATGGCAATAAGAGTATGCAGGATGACAGTTGTCTCCTGACTTCCGGCAATTACATGTTTTGCCGCTCCATCCTGACTGGCAAATACAACTTCCAGTCTGACTATTACACCCTTCAGAAGTTCCTCTTATGCAATCACATGATTTTTCACAAGTTAATCCATATTTCCATTGATCACAATCTAAAAGAGCAATGATTACATAAATATATTTCTAAATCAAATTTATTTCATTTTCAGAGGATATCAGTTCTTGTCCCTTACCACAATGCCCTTGAAAGATTTTGAAGTCATCAAGTGCAATATCTGACTGATATCCATCGCCTCTGATACCAGTTATCTTAATCTAAAAAGAAGAAAGACATATCCATGACGTTCTCTTAAAAGCGTCTTTGTCCTCAAAAAGCACATATTTTCATGGGACTATATTAATATGTATGAAATATATACAAGAAAGCTAATGAATCGAAATGTGTTGGATAATTTTCAAAATACAAAATAATTACTCCATTTTAAATAAATAAAATCGCTGATCCAAAAACAAAGATTTTAAACTGGTAAAAAAATTTGATCATTTTAATCTAAAACGTAGTGTTAGCATACCAATGAAGAGGTGGGTGGGAGAGAAAAAAAGCCTTTGTCCCATCTGGAACCAAAATGTCCTGACTTTGTCCATTTAGTAATTTCGGATCCATATGTGTCCTGTGCGGTTATATTCAAGTCACCCATATCATCCCCTCTCATGTGATAATAAAACTGGAAACAGGCATGTGTAGCTTGAAGAATAAAAAATAAATAAAAAAGGTATTTCGCATAAGATATATTAAATGTTATAAATAAATTTAGGCCACTTATTAAAAAAACTGTTGACTCAACTTCATAAAAAAGTGATATTAAGTGATCTATCATTTTTGCTTGATACAACTGTTTTACTTAAAGTAATATACGCCATGTGAATGCCGATTTTTGCGTGAAACAAAATGATTAAATGATTTGATACACATGAAGTGTAATGAAAAAATAATATTTCCACAAAATTTTACTATAAAACTCGTTGTAATAAGAGAAAAATAAAACAATATCTGCAATCAAGAATTCAGTCTTTTCATGAATATTGATGAAGGAAGTGCGTAAACAGTATGCCTAAATATGGACACGCATGTCCACGGGAAACTATAGACAACGAAGCATGTTGCATTTTCACAACGATTATTTTAACAAAAGGTTAATATGCATCATAACAGAGTGGATGGTTGATACTGATTACATTGAAAGATAAGTAATATGAAGAGTAAGACGCCATCCATGTCAAAAGTGAGTTGTATCTCAAACGGCTTACCTCGATTTCTTGACGCCATGTTTGTTTATCAATCTAAAAGTAGCGACACCGTCACGTGGTGGATTTATTTAAAAATAGCAATTTCTCTCCTAGCAGAATAATTAATAATTATAATTTGGTTTCTTTATAACGTATTTTATTTTAATAGTGTAATTTTCAGTTTTTTCGTAACTTTTGTTGGTAAACAAAATATATAAATTTCTTTTTTTCGTTTTTTATACTGGCGCACGTTATGGCGTATATTACTTTAACAAATTTTTATCTGAGAAAGATGAAATACGGAAGATGTACAATCATTTTTGTCCTTTCATACAGTATACCCTTGGTTAGGGAAAATGATTGGGCTCATTCTTTGGAGGAGATTTTTATTTTGAAATTTTGAATGAGGGTGTGGTCCTTTAATTGAACGAAGTTGAATCCCCTTTACCCAAAAATAGTTTGCTAAGTTTGGTTGTAATCGACCTAGTCATTCTTGAAAAGAAAATGAAAATGTGAATTGTCTGCGACGAAAACGACGAAATTCAACGCATAATGAAGTTATAAATTTCTTCGTCGTAAAAAATACAAAATCTATATGAGTTACACAGCAAATTCCAAGAAAATATACAAATATACAGGTATATATGTTTTAAAGAGCATTCAGCAAATGACAAATGAAAGAAAACATACTAAGATTTAAATTAGATACGGATATTTTCATTACTCCTTTATCGCCAGTGGATTGTCTGGTGGCCTCTGTATAAACGTAGTATCTTCCCTCTTTCGCCGAGTATGGACCTGTATGATCACTGGGTGTTCCACTCTATCAAATAAAATTTCATTAATTCTAAAATTCAGCGATATTTCTACAATCTCACGGAGGATTCAGTATAAATACTTACGCTATCTTTTCTCCATCTCATGACGCCATAATTTTTAATTGAACATGTTTCAAAATCTGTTTCAAACGAACAGGAATACAAAACGTCTGTGACATCTGTAAAAGATGTTTATCGATTAAGTCAGGATCATTTTCCTATTGAGATGCCAATATGCCATAGGCTAAAACTAATGGACAGTTTTCTCAACCTTTCTCTTTAGACATACGCAATCTTATTTATTATACAAGTTTTTTCTAAAAGGTATTTTGGATGCATATTATTACGAAGATAGCAATACCGGTATGCTTAAAGGTAAAAAAAAAAACAAACAAAACCAGTAGTTTTAAAGATTAAATGCAATATCATCGAATCCATCTCTGGTTTATCGATCAACATCCCAAATAGATATAAATTTCAAAAATTTCAAGAAGGCACAATACTTAATAAGATCAAGTATATAAATTTAGAAGTTTCGAAATATCTTTCGGTTATGTTATGTTATACATTTTATTCATTTTCCTGAGTAAAATGACCAGAAACACATGAGAAAAAATAAATAAAAAATATGCTTTATGTGCAATTTGTTACTATATTTAAACAATAAAATGCTTTCTTTATTTGTTATTACTGGAATGAACGGAAGCAGCTGTTGCAGAAAAAATACATAACCCGCGTAAGCGGGTTTTTTTCTGCAATAGCTGCGACTGTTCATTCCAGTAATAACAACAAAGAAAGACATTTTTAGTTTATATGTATGTCTGTTTAAATAATCAATTAAAGTAGGATTAAAAAGATTAATTATTGTATTAATGATGCGAACGTCTTTATACGTTTCATTGATGGAACGGCCACTGATTAAGAAATCTGTACAGGCGACATGCCTACTGTAGTTTATGCCGTGATGAACACAATGGGGTTTCTTGAGAAATAAAGGAGAAAATATTCAGTGGATGTAAATGTAGTGGTACAAGGTGTTAAAATTATTTAATACCTGAACAGTTGGATGGTTTAGTGAAAACACCGTCCACACATAGGCATTTGTACTCATCGCAGTACGAATTTTCACCACATTTTATTTCTCGTCCGCACGTGCAACGTACACCTGACCATCCACTCTTGCACACGCATTCCCCCGTGTCTTTGTCACATAACAAGGAGTTACTACGGTCACAAACGCAATCATCTTCACATTCTTTTCCATAAGTGAACGAGGGACAATCTTTAAAGAAAAAGCGAAGATTCATAAAATCTTGATTTTCTCATCTCTTTCTCTCTCTTGAAAGCAAAGAACAAATATTGTATAACTGATAAAACATTTTCAATTTCTTTTAAATAGTATGCGAGAAAAACCATTAATTGCTGCATTCATTGTGGCACGTTTTACAAAACAAGTTGCAAATAAAACTTTCCTCTTATAAGGTCTTAAGTTCTATTTGTTAAAGAAAGTCCCAATCCAATGTTTTCAACGAAAAAGAAAGAAATTACCATTTGAGCAAGATATACCGGCGTCTTCATAATGCCCACAAGTACCGGGATTTTTTGTACCAGAACACGACTGAATAGCAGGCTCATCTCCGTTGCACCCTAGATTGCTTAAAAGAATCGGCCCCGATCCCGATCCATAATAAGCTGATGATTTTGATTGAACAGATCTCCTAAAACAAATAACAAGATGGCTTAATTTGCTTATTTGCTGTTGACTTCAATTCCCAAAAAATGTTATTAGGCTTGAACACCTTATTACTCTTATATTTTTGCTTTTTTTTTGGCAAAAAATGTACAATGCTTCTCCGACAGAAAACACAGCATTACAAGTGTTTTGAATGTACCATATATACTGTTGTAACACCTCTTAATACAAACTGTAATAGTAATTGACCGAAATCAAACGAAAGTAGGAAACATTAAATTTACTCTTGTTTTATCATCGCTCACCTGAGTGAAAGACGTTTATCTGCAAGAATTATGCATGTAGCTGTTAGACTAGGGACTTCCTCTTTTTATTCAATTCCTGTAATTGGGCTTGATCTAAGCATAAAATTGCTAAGAATGGCTTTCTTTTCAACCAGTGCTTAATGCCAACCTCATTGTCAATTTAGTCATAAAGAGGTCAGTCTCAGTATTTCTGCAGAATATAACACTGGTACTGTCAACTTTGAAGTGTAATACGCTTTTATTGAACAAAAACATTTCTCCTTTTTTTTGGGAGGGGGAGGGGTGTAACATTAGCTATGAAAGTTATAATAAAAACAGAAAATCTGAGTAAGATTTAAACTTTTATTTCTATACAAAATTGAACAGATTTGTTGAAAATTTATCAGAGAATTAGTAGAGAATATAAAAAAATAAGAAGGTTAATAACAATCAACTATCTAAATTTCATATGACTTCAACACCATATATGCACACAGTATCAATTGTGCAATATTGCAACAATTTTGTGACAGAAATGCAAAACTTTCTGACAATAACATTACATGTTCACATATATGCTTTGTAAACAGTTCAATTGACAGCCAGTCAATGCACCAAATGTCACTAAGTGACACTGGCACATTGGTAGGTGGGAGAGGGGACAAGATGATGTATCTCCCCCAAATAAGTTCTCATGCGTCCCTTATATCAGATTTATAAAGTATATGTACAGTAAACCATTTTATGGTCTGACCAATATGCCTCTATCACATCAGTTTCACAATGAGGGAAGTTTGTAAATATCAAATCAAGTTGTGAACCTGAATCATGAGTTACCTTTTTTACTAATTGTGTGCAATTAAAATTCAACTTCACAAAGTTCAGAAATTCCTTGTGACCTGTAAACAAATCAAAATTGAAATCTCCAAGAATTATCAATTTTCTATCTGTGTCTAGAAAAGGTTTTAAGTGCAACATAATTTCATGTTCAAATTCTTTAAAAGAACATGCTGGGAACTTGTATAAAACAACTTTTTGCACTTCTCCAAGGTCTCTGAAATTTATTAAAGCTATGATGAATTCAAACAAAGTGTTGCTGAATTTTGAAATACATGTCATCAAATGGTCTTGTTTAACGTATAATGCTGTTCCATGATGAGGACGATTGCTGTCACTTCTCTTTTCATGATTATAAAGAGTCAAGTAACCTTCCATCATAAAATTCTGTTCATCATTGATGGTTAATCTTGTTTCTGAAAAACCAGTAACATCTGATGCGACAACATTAGGTTCATTTTTTATTTCATCGAAATGTTTGTGAAGAGATCTTGCATTAATAAACATAATCTTTAGTTTGTTCTGCTCTGTTTTGTACAATGTAAGATAACACAGTTTTAGAGGTGCTTCCTTCCTCATTCTTTCCATTTCTTCTACAACTTTTTCATCAATAGTTAATGCTTGCTCATTGAAATTCAGAATATGCAATTTGTCAACAGATCTAACTCTACTGAGAGCTACATAATGAATGTGTGGGGTTTTCCTTATCCTTGACTGAGACAAATCTACTACAATTTCATCAACAGTGCAGCCCTGAGCCTTATGAATTGTCTTACCAGCAGCTGGTCTTAAAGGAAACTGTATTCTTTGATATGTAGTTGAATTGAAAACAAAAGATCGCTGACAGTCAAATATTGGTGTCCAATCATCCATAACATCATCATGGAAAAGATGTCTGACTGTATTTCTGTCGAGCAATTCTTCCTACTGCAGAATCTAAAAACTTCACCCACACTATACTTGGCCTTGATACACCACGTAATCTCTTTTAAACAAGAAATACAGTACATGATGAACCATTTGTCAAGCCATCAGTAACATCAATATTAACTGTAATGTCATATATCATTCCAATGGCTAGAGTTAGTCTTGTCATGAGATTTGCAGTTTTGCTTACATCATCTTGATTTTGCAATGAACTGAGTAGTCGGTCTTTCACAGACTTGATGTGGTCTTGGAGGACACTGTCAACAGCTTTAACAATGACTTTTTCACCAGGAAGTTGCTCTATAAGTTTATTGTTATAATCATCTACTTTGGCATTCATTGTGAAAAGATGGGGAGCATTGTGTGGATAATTTGGACTTTTTTCTGCAATGATGCACCTGTGAATTATATCCAAGTCCTCAGAAGTCATCTCATTGTGACGAAGACGGTTCAAAAGCTGTGCAAATTCTAAATCATCCTTTTGACGCATTACTTCTTTCCAAAGATTACATGCAAGTGCTTGGGCATTTTGTTTTAAATCTTGAAAAATCCAGCCATCCATGATTGGTTTAAGTTGAAAGAAATCTCCAACTGCAATAATACTAATGACTCCAAACGGCCTCTTCAAACCAGTAAGAAGCTGAAGTCTGTCATTGATAAATTCCAACTTTGCATTGCCAACCATTGAAATTTCATCTATGATGACTACTGACAAATTTCTATACTTAGTTCTAAATGTGTTGAGTTCATCACAATGCATGCTTTGCTGCCTTTGGTTAATTTTGGTTACTGTAAAAGCACAAATATTCGTGGGGGGTAAAATTTCGTTTATTTCGTTGTTAACAATATTCAACGAAATTAAATCCCACACGAAATTTTATATGACTATATATTGAATAGGGTTACTTTCAAAACAACGAAATTAAATGCCCACGAAACTATTTTTGAAGACAAAACAACGAAATTTTATGCCCACGAAAATTTGTGCTTCTACAGTAATTTTCAGGTGAAATGCAGAAGCAATTGTTTGACCACCAATGTTAAATGCAGCTTTACCAGTGTATGCACAAAGAAGAATTCGTATACCATCTGGATTTTCACCCTCCTTAGCACATAAATACCAATGTAAAGCTTGATAAAGTGCTCTGATTAACACTGACTTCCCAACTCCTGCGCCTCCTGACAGATATGCATGAATGGGTTCCTGTTTAGAATTGATCCATTGCATAACATGATTGAAGAATTCACGTTGCTTCAAATTTAAACTGGCTACAAGCTTTAAATACTCATCATCGGGTAATCTAACAGAACTCTGCTCACTCAGTTGTCTTGTTGATGGAATTCCAACATCATTTCCTATAACATAATCTCTGTTCAATTGGCCTTTCAGGATTAAAGTGAACAAATGTTTCAGAATCAACATTTCCTTCATATTCATCATCTGCATCAGTTTGTTGAGCTCCAGGGGCTAATTCATCATAGGCTTCTGTCAAACCATCCTGCGCCATCTGTTCTGCCTGCTCAAGCGCATCAGCATTGTGTTCATACTGTTTGATTTTTTGAGCTAAGAAAAATTTTTTTCTGGTTAAATGACTGCTCAAAGATCTGATGTCCACCCAGAAGATCAGAACATTCATTTCGCCATGGAGTGAACAGCATTAGTTTTTCTCTATAGTAATTTTCTGGGTTTGTCTTTAAGCTATAAGGTACATATCTTGGTGTTTTTCTGCGCTTAATTTTAATTCAATTTCTCAACACAACTAATGTGCTGTCATCTTTAAATTCATCCTCAGTATCAGTTCCACTATCTTCATTTTCTGACTGGTGCCTCTCATCATCATTTATTTCCATTTCAGGCAGATCAGTTATACTTTCCTTTGGGAAAACAACATTTAACTGTGACACATAGTCAGCTAAACACCAGTTTTCAAGTTGTTTTGGACGTTTTGCATATCTTTTGACTATGTTACTGCATTCTATGTCTGTGGAATTAGCATTCAACTTTTCGAGTTCTGAATCAGGTTTGACAAGTATTACACGGTCATCAACTGGAGATGTGGTTATAAATATTACATCTCTTGATGCTTTTGTAAGGGGCATTAGCAAAACTAGATATGCTGCTTCTTGTGCTCCAACTTCAACACTGTTAAGAAATTGATTTCCAATGTGTCTAACTTGTCTCTTAATGTCTAGATTGCCTTCTCTTGCTTCTTTTGCAGCTCTACTCAGCAGATCACTCATGCCCATTTGGGATTTACTTATGTATGAGACAATGTACATTGCACAAGCATATGGATCCAAACATACTGAATATCAATGTTTGCTGCCCATGCATGAAGAAGAGTACTGTTGTAAGCATTTACTCTCAAGTCACAGGGTTTACGTTTTAAAAATACTTTGGGTGTTCTCAAAGAACTTCTGATGCATTTTATATAATCATCTTCAGATAGTTGTAGTACATTCTGCAAAAAAGTCTTGGACAGTGCAGCTTATGTCACATCCATTTTTAAAGTCAATCACTTTGTCTTGCATAGTCTTATGCATTTTCTTGTATTTCTCAATGTCATTGTTCAAAGGTTCCAATATCATAGTAGCTTGGAGTGGTGGAAGTGGAAATCCAAATCTACAAACGGCCTTTCCTTTTTTTTGCATGTTTGTGAGTGTTTGTGAACTTGCAATTCTATCAAATTGTCTTCTGTATTCCATTCACACTTCAAGTAGCTGTCAACAAATGCAACAATTTCCTTGTTATCATTTTCTAAGTATTTTGGAGAATTTTCAATCCAAACAATCATGTGAACATGTGGTGATCCCCTTTGTTGAAATTCAACTCTATAGAAAAAGTCCTGTATCTTTCCAATAGGATGATGATCACTCTTAAGCACAGTATTTAAAAAAGTCCGAAAACGATGATCAAAATACCTCGTACATGTAATTGGGTCTTTCTGAACTAACTTTGACTTTTCAGTCCATATCA